GGTAAAGATATTAGGAGTTTTGAAATAGTTCTATAGAAGTACTGAGGAAAATTCTTAGTATCTACTGCCTAATCCTATTAGCAAAGGTCAGACTTTCTGTGGACTCATTTAGAGTTGCCAATTGATCAGAGTTTTCTGGCCTAACTAAAACTTTATCTTTCTTTTCAGCTGTAAAGGCCGGAAGAATGTGGTTTGTGTAATTATATCCATATTTTGGATATGTGCTTTTAATATTTTTTAAAGATGGCATTCTTCAGAGGAAATTGTCCATATTCCCAAGTACTGTATTTTTATTTTAAGGTGTTTTTAAAAACAAAAAAACAAAACCTTGCTTCCTATTTAAAGGTGAGCACCCTCAGTATACAGGCACTTTGCTTTTAGAAAAATCTCTATTCAGCTCAGAGAAAATGTACTCTACTGCTGGAAAAGCTCCAAGGTGCTAGACCTTTGAAACCCAGCAATGGCAATTCAAATCTAATTTTAGTGCACATGTATTAGGAAAAAAACCTTAAAGATAAAATTTGGGTGATTTTTTTTCCTGAGTAATGACAAAAATACTCTGTAGTCTTTCATTTGCTCTCCAGTTCTCCATCCTTCTGCTGGCATCCCATAGTGTTCCTCTTGCTGCATGATCACCCTTTCCTTTTTGGTCCTCTTTTCCTGTGTGCTGTGTTCCTTCCCTAGCATGCTGGAGGAAATGATAAGTCTTTGGATGCTGGTTGCTGGGCTATTTTTTTCCAGCCAGCTTTTATAATCAGTAGCAAAGCATAATTCTACAACACAGGCTTATTTTTTAGATCAGAAAAGGCTGGATTTCCTGCTAGCAAATGGGTTGCAGCAATCCAGTTCATTTTTTTTTTAAATGCTGAAAATAGGTCCACTGCTTGTTCAAACTCCCTGTGGAAGTTCAAACTCCAATTTTGGAAGCTCTGTCTGTAGTAACTAGAAGACATTGCTGATGGAGTTTGTCATGTGGGAGAAATGTGTGTCTGAACAAATGTCAAGGTGCCAGGAGAAGGCACAGATAATGTCACCAAACACAAAACTGTTCTTATGTGTCTACACAAAATTCTGTTGGAACCAATAGAATATTGGAGTTTCAGAAAGATATATATACTTACCAATATAGATACCAGAAAGATATATATACCAATATTGGAGTGTCAGAAAGTTTTCCTTCCTCATGGGCTGCTTGTCTTTCTTCAAATATAATTCAGAAAATTTTTCCAATGTTTTCTTTGTTGCAAAAGACTCCAAGGTTATTAGAGGCAGAGAAAATTTTAAATTCCAGGGCTGGTTTTAATCAGACTAATATGAATAAGGTTGTTTTTTCACCCTAGTGAAGTAATGCAGTTAATGATTATGCTACACACATTGGTTTTATACCATTTTAAATGTTATTCATGATTTTCCTCAGAATAACCCAGAGCTTACAGTTTAACAAGTATGTTGAGAATTCTCCATTAGACAGTCATAGTGTTCATTTCCCTTGAGCTATAATTCCCAAAATTCTCTGAAAGGGAGGGAATTACTATTATTGACAGTCTGTTTATTGTTCATAATCATAGGCCACCATGACTCCTAAAAAGAAGAATTAAATGCAATAAAATACAAACCAATTTAAAATGCAGTAAAATTACAAACCATTTAAAAAACCATAGACATATAATAAAATATGGGCTATTAAAAACAGGAAAATGCATATACACAGTAATTAGAATGGCACAATTAAAATAGCCCTTCCTTTCCATGGGAACAATAGCAGAGTAGTCCTACTACTCTATAAATCAGTATAAAGCTACAGGGTGTTGCCTAACCCTTAATTTTCTAGCAGCCCAAACAAATTTTGCAAGTTAGGGCATAAGCAACGTACAGATTTGGTCCAAGTTAGGTCTGTCTGATAAAGAATTTAGAATGTAGTGGAGAAAGTTATACCTTGGGGATTCATATGAGGAACAATGGAGTAAACAGTGTTCAATATACTCAGCCTCATTCAGCTCATACATACAGAGTCATGGATGAGTTGTGATGTTGCTAAATCTTCCATCCGGATAAGCAGAAGGCATGCACTGGAATACAAATAGTAAGGCTGTGAAAGTTCTTAAAGGAGCAACAGGAAGCACCATAAAGTATTACTCCAGAACAAATGTTGTTTTATATAATGGATACTAATTTGAATATGACATTTGTGTAAAAGAATATAAGTGCTAGCACTGAAAATATAGATGGATCTCTTCTTTATACAACAGTTTAATTCTGTTTGAACAGATGAAAGATAGAACTTCTGTACTAATCCTGCAAGCATGTAAAATCTATCATGGAGAATTTACCCAAGAACTTCAGGCTGGAGTTTGCAATTGTTCTAAAGGCTTTTTTTCCATAGAGAATATTCTGCCCTAGGGGACAGCTAGCAGGAATCTCAGAAAGGAGTTCTGGACCACCTCAAAGATAGACGCATTCATACACATTGCCACACCATATTGCCACATCATACAGGAGTTGTTGGAGCATTTTCTTTGAAATACTGCTGCCCACTCCCCCTGTTTAAAAAAACAACAACAACAACATCTGGGAGGGTACAGACTAGGAGGATTTCAGTTTTACTGTCTCCAAAGATGGTTGCCATGAAATCTGGGCATTACAGGGAAGTTCTATGTACCAAAAATTATGCTGCCATTCAATGGTTATGTTATCCAATTTCCGGAGATGATTATTTTTTCCTCCTCCCCCTCCTTCTCCTCCCCCCACTTTTCACTTTTGTTTTTGTATGGTTTATTATCAGGCAAGAATTCAGCCAATTTATTCAATTGCCTCTTCATCACAATCAGTGTAGTATGAATAATAGCAATATTATCACTTCAAGACTGCAGTGGTATGTAAGTCCCATGAAAACCAGTAGGACCAAGTAAACATTGAACTGTAATTACAGTTGTTGGAGAAATCCACAATGGGCTCAGATGATTTTGGGTTTTTATGAATTTGACCTGCAGATTACATAGCAGACCAATTTTTCTGAGTCATACAGATTTCACTGAACTGCAGATTCTGCTTTACTTTTAGGGGATTTAGTCACATCACTGCTAATGTGTATTTGTGTAAGTGGAAGAAAATTCTCATATATCCCTACCCTTGCTACCAATTCTATAAAAGAGCAGACAATAGAACAAAAGATGCCTGACAATCTGCAAAACATCATGGAACAGATTGAAGAAATCTTTATATCCCTAATAGGTACCCCACCCAGGTGCTTTGGCTTAGAACTCCCTTCAGCCTTAATCAGCATAGCCAGTAGTGAGGGATCATGAGAATTGTAGATGAAAACATTAGAAGTGCATGGGTTGCTGTGCTTTGTGCATCAAGGGTATAGATCTGAGCTCTGAAAACTGGAATACTGTGAAAGCACGGACGACACAGGGCTACAGGAACCCCAAGTAATTAAGGACAGATTTCCCAGGTAATTTTTTGATAACTAAACGAATTTAAGCATATTGGTTTGATAGCTACAGTTACCGTATTTTTCCGTGTATCAGATGATACTTTTTTCTTTAAAACATTTACATAAAAATGGAGGGGTGTCTTATACATGTGGGGCGGAGAGCAGACCTGCGGGTGTGCTGGGGGGGGGGGAGACTGGCGCGGGCGTGCACGTGCGGGGAGGCGGCAGGCACGCGCACGCAGCAGCAGCTCGCTTTCTCGGAGATCGCTAAAAAAATGGGGGACATCTTATAGTCGGAAAAATACGGTATTCTGTGGTCATGATAAGCTCACAAGTTCCTATGTCTCACACTGTCCAGGGTGACTATTTGTCCTGCTTGACAGAGGAGAATCCTCTGTTTGAAGGTGCCCTCTATTTGATAGGCCGTTCACTCCAGTCCAAGTCCAGTTTAAAGATCAAGGGCCTGTAAGAAGGTGGAGCAAGGCAGGGCCACCCACAGTTATCACCTGAACAGCAGACTGAGGGGGGACACAGGCCAGCTGGTCACAGTCCAAGTTTAGGATAATCTTTGTCACTACATACTGTAAGTTATTTGTAAACTCATGTCTAGAAATATTTATTTATTTTTCAATTTATATGCCACTACGGTAACCCAAAAGAAGATTTTATGAAAATCAGTGTCATCCTTTATCCTCTTTTTTGTCATGTTGGGGTTTTTTTTTGGCAGGGGCAATGCATAAGTGGATACTATCTTACTGATACAGTGAAGAAGTGGACTGCCTATTAATTGGCCAGCTTTAAAGAAAGGTACTGGTGTGATCCATTAAATAGGGTGTCAGGCAAGGACCAGGGGCACCTGGATCCAGATCCTCTCAGCTGTGAAACTTACTGTACACCCCTAGTCCTGTCAGTCTCTGTCAGCCTAAGCTGCGACATGTCGGGCATTAGTCTGTCACCCACCGTTGTTGCTGTTTAAATTGATTTTTTTTACTTCCTTCTAAATCCTTTGTCTGTTTTATCTGGCCAGAAAACAGCAGTTTGGGCCCTCTGTATCTTAGGGAATGCCTTCTTCATGCATCAAGTAGCATCTCTGTAACAAATTGCTTGTCCTTATTTATTTATTACATTTCTATGCTACTCTGTAGTTAGAACACTCTACTTCTCAGTAGCCCCTAGAGCTTGAATGGTACCAACTTGTCTTCTTTCGGAGGCAATTGAAAATGTATCTAGTTTATATGTGTGTCTTATACTGTATCAATGGAAAGGAGAGAGGGGTTTTTATTACTCTTATTTAAAAACTAATCTAAAAAACTCCTTTCAGGAAATAAACATAAATAAACATGTACCATAAACTGTATGCAAGTTGATTGATTCATTTATTTGAATTGTCTGCTGCTGTTATGATTTTTAGAGGGTTTTAAAAATGGCTTTAGATTTGTAAGTAATAAATTGAGTGTTACTAGATTTTTGGCTGTAGAGAAGGAGAGTTCTGCTGACTCTTTATGAGAACTTTTCTTCTTTATCTTATCCTTTTCTTCTTACTATTTCTATCTTCTTCTGACAGTACCCATCATCAGAATTCTCTCGCTGTGACCTGAAGGCTAATCTTCTTCAAAATGGCTGTTCAGCTAATTCTATTGAGTATCCAGAGAGCCACATTACTGTTGTGGAGAACAGGACTCTCAGTGACAAAGGCTCAGGAAAAGACATCACCCAAATGGCCCCACAGAAGATTGAGCTCCATCTACGACCAGGTAAAGCTAGATATGCTATTCAGTGATTTAACATGCTGTATTCTGTATGCTGTATTCTGTCCTTCTTCCAAGGAGCTCAGGTGAGTCATGATCAGGCATTACACTTCCATAAATATGTGGTAAAGATGGGCCATTGTTCAACTGCTGCAGCAGATGCTTTGTCTGCAGAAAGTCTCAGGTTCAGCCCTTGGCATTTCAAGTGGAACAACTGGGAGAACAGCCAGTATCTGAGACTCAGAAGGGATGCTTTAGTCAGAGTAGCCTATACTGGGTTATATGGACCAATGTCTTACACAATATATGGCAGCTTCAAAGCTGTGCTTATTTTAATATCAGCATTGTACTTTGTGAGGCTTTAACTCATATCATACCCAGTGGCGGTGTTAAAGATGGGTTTATTTTGCATATTGACCATGCATACCCAGAAATTCCCTCTGTGGGAATGAAGACAGTACAGATGTGAATCAACTGCTATCATCATGGGCTGGCACCATCATGATAACTCAACTACCTCCTTTACCCACATTTTAACATTTCAGATGACTCTCGAACGTTCTCAGTACAAGTGCGCCAGGTAGAGGACTACCCTGTGGACATTTACTATCTGATGGACTTGTCTAATTCCATGAGGGATGACCTCCACAACATCCAGAACTTAGGCACCAAGCTAGCCATGGAAATGCGTAAAGTGACCAGCAACCTGAGAATTGGCTTTGGGGCCTTTGTGGACAAACCCCTGTCCCCTTACATGTACATTTCCCCTCCAGAAGCCATCACAAATCCATGCTATGAGTAAGTTACCTGCCCAGAGGAAGCATTATTGGTTGCTATGCAACTCTGAAGAAGCTTGTAATCTGGGGTTTAGAGGGTGGCCACATTTGTACTCCTGTTTCGCCTCTGATTTGAGGAAGTATGATTTCTCCCCTCCTTGCTTGCACTGCAGTTAAGAGATACATTAGAACCAATGCAAACTGTTGCTAAGGCTAACCATGTTACCCAGTGAAGCGGTGTTCTTAACTAGCTGGTTAAGTGGGAGCCTTAACCTGGTCAGTACTGTTAAAGAGAGCTGGGAAAAGGAACTGGCTGGGTGGAAAGAGTGCAGGCATTTGTTATATTTGCATACTAGCTCTTTAAGGGTGCTTCCAGATGGTGGGCTCCTAGCACTACAAATCAAAAGGCATTGTGCTGCTGTTCCATCTTGCTCTCCTAAATGGATTTCTTTGTGCTCAGAAAGAAGACGGAAGGAATGGTGGGAAAACAAAGAAAGGTTACACATAGAAGGTGTCATCAAATTCTCTGAATGAGGCAGGGAAATTGCAAAAGTAAATCCCCATCTAAGTAGCATACTGTTTACTCTCTGGACTAATCCACATGCTCAATTTTCAGCATGGTAGCTATTTGAAATGCAGCTATGTGAGGACAGCTCCACCGAATGAGTGCTTTGTGCAAAATTATTCCTTGTATAACCTTGACAGTTTTCTGCTGATATGATGAAAGTGGTATACAGCTGCTTTCACACCATTGCATTTCAAACAGTTATCCCATGCTTCATAGTTTTTGCATAACTGTATGGGCATTCTAGAATAACAGAGTACTTGCTAAAGGTTTGTTAATGTGAATAACGGATTGTGTGTACATGCCCTGGAAATTTTTCATTAATGTTTTTCCTGTACTGCTTTAATTTCAGCTTAGTATCATTATCATATTGCATTCATATCCTGCCTTTTTTCCTCTTTTGAGGAACCTTAGGTGACTTACATAGCTCCATTTTGTCCGCACATATAAGGTTGGACTGGACTCTTTTGGAATCCATCCTGCTATCATCCATAGACTTTCACTCATGCTCAGCCTGGTCCTGCAAAGCAAGCCAAACCAAGAGGAAGTCCATGAATGTTCATGGATCCTCTGTTGCACAACTGACAATCTTCTCTGGTGCCACATGCCAGGTGCCAACCTTCTTTCCTGCTTGCTGCTGCCTGTGGCAATGCACCTGGGGAAAAAGGAGCTGTGGGGGAGTATGCTAGGCGCCCTTTCCAGCAACAACCCTTTTCCCCATTTGCTGCTGCCATGACATGCAGGGTGTCATGCAGGGAAAAGGGGGGACTGTTTGTGCAGCGCATGGGACTTGTTTCCTGGTGAGCAGTATATAAACATTGGGCACACTCGCCAGGAACTCAGATTCTGAGCATCTGCAAAGCAGATTGGAGTACAAGAAGCTGAGTCCAGGGAATCTGATGGATTATCACCCTCAAATAGATTTGCTGCACTTACCTGCTCATAATGACTGCCCTGTGAGTGGATTAGGCTAAGTGTGATTGACTGGCCCAAAGTCACCCAGTGAGTTTCATGTGAGGACTAGAACCCAAATGTCTGAAGTCTCCTGTCCAACACTCTAACCACCATACCACATTGGCCCTTGTAACTGTAACCTTGCATAAACTACACTATTTGTAATTACAAAGACTACCATTAATGGGATGCTTTTCAGAAACACTTCTGGCAGCATTCCCTTTTAGTGATTTTAGAAGGGTGTTGTGGATTAGGCCTACTTCTAAAACTGCAGGCTTCCAAATTTACTTGTTCCCGAATCTGAATCAGAACTGGAAGAAGGGGTGGGATTGAAATTCCTATCTGAAATGCCAAGGCCAGTAGTCCAGAGAGAAACTAAGAAGCCAATGAGAACCAGATCACATCTGGTTCTTTGAGAAATGAGTTGAACAGGCAGACTTAGGTGGGAGCAGACATAACATTATTAGTTCAGTCATGCTTTATCAGATCAAATGGGCGAACCAACTGGGTAGCATCAGACATTCCCACCAATTGGCTCACATGCAGCAAAAGCTACCCTGAAGATGAATCCAACTTTTTTGGGTTTAGAAGGGAGAAGAGATACTCCACCTTGAATCAGTTTCTTATAATTAAGACACATTTCCGTGATGGCTAGTATTCTAACTTTGCTGGTATCTTTTGTTAATATCTAGCATATTAACTCTTAACTACTTCCATATGCTTCTTTTGTATTGAAAAGCCAGCCCAGTGGACCAATTGTAACATAATAAAGACTTTAAAAGCCTGAATGAGGGGGGACTAGGTAACTGGCTTATGGCAGGTGTGTGTTGGTTCCTTATGGTACCCATGTAGAAGAAGGAATCACAGTTAGCACCATGAGAAGCTAGTAGTTCTGTAAGTACCCAGAAGGTGCAGAAATTTCTAGGACAAGGCAGGTCAGTGGAGTTCTTCTGACCTGTATTGATCTAGAAATGTTTCCAACTTTGCTTTCAGAGCTGCTAATTACTGATACCTTTAGAAGCAAGTACTGTTAGTTCAATAAGACTAGCAGATGTCCAGCAGCCAGATAAGATACTGTCTCTTATTTTAGCTATTCTGACAGCTTTTTCAAGAACTTGTAAAATGCTTTATATATTGCAGAATAAGAACAATTAGTAATTTTATTGCTAGGATCATACACACGATTGATACAGAAAACATTGTCTTCCATATAAATATAAAGTGACATCATCACTTAATCAAATCTCACTGGCTAAATGGATATATAGTATCATAACTTTTACTACACTGATTATGAAGTACTAAATCAGGAAGTGGGGCAAAGTGTGGGTGCAGGAGCAGAAACGGGAAACAAATGTTAATGAACAACCTCAACAATAATGACTGTTTCCCCAGAAAATATTTGATCTTTCCTCCAAAGCACTGTTTCTGTCCCCTCATCTGTCCCCAAATTGAAATGGGCAAATAGTCCTTGAATTTTTGGCTTGGGGTATTTTTCATTTTCATCACTACTATATCCTGTTCCACTGCCACCATGAAATCTCTGGCTACTGGTCTTAACTGAAAAATAAACCACATTAGTACTATTATGGCATGTTAGTTTGATGCAAACTGATTAAATCAACTTGAGTTTAAATATTTTTTATTTATTTATTTATTAAAACATTTTTATGCTGCCCCATTCGCCGAAGCCTCGGGGCAGCTTACAACAATAAATTAAAATAACATTTTAAAATATATACATTAAAATACAAATATATGATATAAAACATACAATATAAAACAAGCCGCCCTGGCCAGATAAAATTCAATAATATTAACATTTAAAATACTGCTTAA